ACACACACACACAGACACACAGACACACACACACACACAGACACACACAGACACACACACACACAGACACACACACAGACACACACACAGACACACACAGACACACACACAGACACACATAGACACAGACACACACACACACACTGACACAGACACACACACACAGACAAACACACACACAGACACACACACAGACACACACACACAGACACACACACACAGACACACACAGACACACACACACAGACACACACACAGACACACACACACAGACACACACAGACACACACACACAGACACACACACAGACACACAGACACACACACACAGACACACACAGACACACACACACAGACACACACACAGACACACAGACACATAGACACGTTCCACTCACGTTGCCACACGCCTCAACAAGTTGAAATCTCTCACACTCCAGCCAGCCAATATCACACCCCGCTCCCCCCCCCCACTCTCCCCCCCACCATCACCAACTCTCCCCCCACTCTCCCCCCACCATCACCACCATCACCAACTCTCCCCCCACTCTCCCCCCACTCTCCCCCCACTCTCCCCCCACCATCACCACCATCACCTCTCTCTCTTCCCCCATCACCACCACCATCATCACCACCATCATCACCACCATCACCATCACCACCACCCCCATCACCACCACCACCACCATCTCTGTCTCCCCTCCCATCACGACCACCACCATCACCACCATCACCACCACCATCACCACCACCATCACCACCATCACCACCATCATCACCACCACCATCACCACCACCCCCATCACCACCACCACCACCATCACCACCATCCCCATCTCTGTCTCCCCTCCCATCACCACCACCACCATCACCACCATCACCACCATCACCACCACCACCACCCCCATCACCACCACCATCACCACCACCCCCGTCTCTGTCTCCCCTCCCATCACCCCAGCCCACCGTCCCCTCTGCACCTCTAGCACGTGGGTGGCTATTCGAGCGGATCACGGAGAACGGGAACCCTGACCGACACTCCACTCCCGCTATTAGCAGCATCATCATCAGCAGCAACAGCAGCATCAGCAGCAGCAGCAGTAACATCATCATCATAATCAGCAGCAGCATCAGCAGCAGCATCATCAGTAGCAGCATCATCAGTAGCCTCATCATCATCATTAGCAACATCATCAGTAACATCATCATCATCAGCAGCAGCATCAGTAACATCATCATCATAATCAGTAACATCATCTTCATCAGCATCATCATTTAGTAGCATCATCGTCATCATCAGTAACATCATCATCAGCAGCAGCAGCATCAGTAACATCATCATCATCAGTAACACCATCATCATCAACATCATTATCAGTTAGATCATCGTCATCATCAGTAGCATCATCATCATTATCAGTAACATCAACATTAGTAGCATCATCATCAGTAGCATCATCATCAGTAACATCAACATTAGTAGCATCATCATCATCATCATCAGTAGCATCATCATCATCAGTAGCATCAACATTAGTAGCATCATCATCAGTAACATCAACATTAGTAGCATCATCATCATCATCAGTAACATCATCATTAGTAGCATCATCATCAGTAACATCAACATTAGTAGCATCATCATCAGTAGCATCATCATCATCAGTAACATCAACATTAGTAGCATCATCATCAGTAGCATCATCATCATCAGTAACATCAACATTAGTAGCATCATCATCAGTAACATCAACATTAGTAGCTTCATCATCATCATCATCAGTAACATCATCATTAGTAGCATCATCATCAGTAAAATCAACATTAGTAGCATCATCATCATCAGTAGCATCATCATCATCAGTAACATCAACATTAGTAGCATTATCATCATCAGTAACATCAACATTAGTAGCATCATCATCATCATCAGTAGCATCATCATCATCAGTAACATCAACATTAGTAGCATCATCATCATCAGTAACATCAACATTAGTAGCATCATCATCAGCATCATCATTAGTAGCCAATTTGTCAAGTTCCCTTCTCAAGGCACCATCCACACCTCCACCAGGAGACCAGGACCTCCTCCACCAGGAGACCAGGACCTCCTCCACCAGGAGACCAGGACCTTCTCCACCAGGAGACCAGGACCTCCTCCACCAGGAGACCAGGACCTCCTCCACCAGGCGCCCAGGACCTCCTCCACCAGGAGACCAGGACCTCCTCCACCAGGAGACCAGGACCTCTTCCACCAGGAGACCAGGACCTCCTCCACCAGGAGACCAGGACCTCCTCCACCAGGAGACCAGGACCTCCTCCACCAAGAGACCAGGACCTCCTCCACCAGGAGACCAGGACCTCCTCCACCAGGCGACCAGGACCTCCTCCACCAGGAGACCAGGACCTCCTCCACCAGGAGACCAGGACCTCCTCCACCAGGCGACCAGGACCTCCTCCACCAGGAGACCAGGACCTCCTCCACCAGGAGACCAGGACCTCCTCCACCAGGAGACCAGGACCTCCTCCACCAGGAGACCAGGACCTCCTCCACCAGGCGACCAGGACCTCCTCCACCAGGAGACCAGGACCTCCTCCACCAGGTGACCAGGACCTCCTCCACAAGGAGACCAGGACCATCACATCCACGAGGAAGATCACGTTGACCCTCCTCCACCGGGGACCCCATATTCACCCTGCTCCACCAGGAGGCCCACATTGACCCTCCTCCACCAAGAGGACCGGATTCACCTCCACCAGGAGGCCCACGCTCACCCTCCTCCACCAGGAGACCACCACCTCCCCCTCCACGCCCGCGTGTGGTCTCCTCATGGAGACTCCCCAAGGAGGCTTTGGGTTTGTGGACGGCCACGTGGTGGAGGTGGACGAGGTGGAGGAGGTGGACGAGGAGATGGTCGACTCCGCCGGCGGGCTGAGCGACTTCACAAGACAACAACAACCACAACAACAACCACAACAACAACAACAACCACAACAACAACAACCACAACAACAACAACAACCACCACCACCTCCATCAACAGCATCCTCTGCGTCGTCCATGCCAGCGATCAGTGGCAGTGGTGGTGGTGGTGATGGCGGTGGTCGTGGTGATGGTGATGGTGGTGGCGGTGGTGGTGGTAGTGGTGGTGGCGGTGGTGGTGATGGTGGTGGTGATGGCGGTGGTGGTGGTGGTGATGGTGGTGGTGGTGACGGAGTAGCTGTAACTCAGGCAGCGGTGATCCCGTCAAACTCGGACTATGCAGGCCCGCACAGATTCGACGTTTCGTTCCAGCAGAGCAGCACTGCCAAGTCCGCTACGTGGACGGTGAGTGGGGGGTGAGGGTGGGTGGGTGGGTGAGTGAGTGGGTGAGTGGGTGAGTGGGTGAGTGCGTGAGTGGGTGAGTGAGTGAGTGAGTACGTGAGTGAGTGAGTGGGTGAGTGAGTAGGTGAGTGAGAGCGTGAGTGGGTGAGTGAGTGAGTGAGTGGGTGAGTGAGTAGATGAGTGAGTGAGTGGGTGAGTGGGTGAGAGAGTGAGTCGGTGGGTGAGTGGGTGAGTGAGTCGGTGGGTGAGTGAGTAGGTGAGTGGGTGAGTGAGTGAGTAGGTGGGTGAGTGGGTGGGTGAGTGAGTGAGTGGGTGAGTGCGTGAGTGGGTGAGTGTGTGAGTACGTGAGTGAGTGAGTGGGTGAGTGAGTAGGTGAGTGGGTGATTGAGTAGATGAGTGGGTGAGTGGGTGAGTGGGTGAGTGGGTGAGAGAGTGAGTCGGTGGGTGAGTGGGCGAGTGAGTCGGTGGGTGAGTGAGTAGGTGAGTGGGTGAGTGAGTGAGTAGGTGGGTGAGTGGGTGAGTGAGTAGGTGAGTGGGTGAGTCGGTGGGTGATTGGATAGGTGAGTGAGTGGGTGGGTGAGTGAGTGAGTCGGTGGTTGAGTGAGTAAGTGAGTGGGTGAGTGAGTGGGTGAGTGAGTGAGTGGTTGAGTGAGTGAGTCGGTGGGTGAGTAAGTGAGTGGGTGGGTGAGTGGATGGGTGAGTGAGTGAGTGAGTGCGTAAGTGAGTGAGTGAGTAGGTGAGTCGGTGAGGGAGTAGGTGAGTGGGTGAGTTCGTGAGTGCGTGGGTGAGTGAGAGAGTAGGTGAGTGGGTGAGTGAGTAGGTGAGTGGGTGAGAGAGTGAGTGAGTGTGTGGGTGGGTGAATGAATGAGCGAGTGGGTGAGTGAGTCAGTGAGTGAGTGAGTTGGTGAATAAGTGGGTGGATGAGTGGGTGAGTGAGTGAGTATGTGGGTGAATGAGTGTGTGTGTGAGTGGGTGAGTTAGTTCATGAGTTAGTTACGTTATGCTCAACCACGTTATGTATGCCGATGATTTGGAGTTGGAGACGCTGCTGCTGAGACTGGAGCGTGCCACTAAGAGATGGGGCCTTACCATCAGCCCCACCAAAACTAAGCACCTGCCTGGGTATTTTGTACCATCGGACACTCCACCCCCACTACTCCCAATCGGTGATGGGGCAGTTGTGGAGAGAGTGGAGAGTTTCCCATACCTGGGCAGTGTGCTTATGACCGGCTCCAGTTTAACAGCAGAGGTCTCACTCGAATCAGTCGAGCGGCAATATCTTTTCATCGGTTGCGTAACGCTGTGTGTGGAAGCTACCTGGTCTGTCGCTCCGCACTAAGCTTCAGGTCTTCTCGGCCACGGTCATTCCCTCCCTTCTCTATGCTTGCGAAACGTGGACCCCCCTAATGGAACATCTTCGCCGGTTAGAACCATTTAGGCTGGCCTGCCTACGATCCATCCTGGGTTTAGCCAGGCTGGATTGTGTGAGGAGCTCACAAATCCTTGAAAGATCTGGGCAAGGTCCCATCGGTGAGCTCCTCCGGCGGGCAAGGCTGCGATGGCTGGGTCATGTAGCCCGCATGCCCAGCCACCGCATGCCGAAACAGCTTTTATTTGGCCGGATTGAGGGGGCTAAGCGGGCGCGGCACGGGCTAGAGAAGAGATGGAGTGATGTGGTACAGGAGGACGTGGAGCTGAGTGGACTTGCCGATGACTGGTACCAGCGGTGTCAAGATCGGCCTCTGTGGAGGAGGCTCGTGAAGGATGCTACTGGGCAGTTGGAGGCAGTCGCCCTCCAACAACAACGGAGGGTGGAGGAGCGACGCTCAGAACAACGAGCGGAGCACCGGGTGGCTAAAGCACAGCAGGTTGGCACAGTAGGGGGCACAGGTGGTGCATCAGCCAGTCATCTCAGTCATCTCAGTCAGTCGACCCGTGGCACTTGGGTCTGCCCCGTGACCTCCTGCCAGCCGGCGTTCGACACTTCACGTGGCCTCAAGGTGCACATAGCCTGGCACAAGCGTCGTGGTGACGTCACCGCCACTTAGTGGCGATTGGTTGTTGTTAGTTCATGAGTGAGTGAGTGGGTGAGTGAGTGAGTAGGTGAGTCGGTGATTGGGTGAGTGGGTGAATGAGTGAGTGAGTGTGTGGGTGAGTGTGTGGGTGAGTGGGTGGGTGAGTGAGTGGGTGGGTGAGTGAGTGTGTGGGTGAGTGGGTGGGTGAGAGAGTGTGTGGGTGGGTGGGTGGGTGAGTGAGTGGGTGAGTGAGTGAGTGAGTGGGTGAGTGAGTGGGTGAGTGAGTGGGTGAGTGGGTGAGAGAGTGAGTGAGTGGGTGAGAGAGTGAGTTTGTGAGTTTGTGAGTGAGTGGGTGGGTGAGTGAGTGGGTGGGTGAGTGGGTGAGTGAGTGGGTGGGTGAGTGGGTGGGTGAGTGGGTGAGTGGGTGGGTGGGTGAGTGGGTGGGTGGGTGGGTGAGTGGGTGGGTGAGTGGGTGGGGGACACTATCCCCTCGATCCCCCACTACCCCTCCCCTCAATCCCACATTAGCCCCTCCCCTCAATCTGCCACTAGCCCCTCCCCTCGATCCCCCACTACCCCTCCCCTCAATCCCCCACTAGCCCCTCCCCTTGATCCCCCACTACCCCTCCCCTCGATCCCCCACTACCCCTCCCCTTGATCCCCCACTACCCCTCCCCTCGACCCCCCACTAGCCCCTCCCCTCGACCCCCCACTAGCCCCTCCCCTCGATCCCCCACTAGCCCCTCCCCTCGATCCCCCATTAGCCCCTCCCCTCAACCCCCCACTAGCTCCTCCCCTCAATCCCCCACTAGCCCCTCCCCTCGACCCCCCACTAGCCCCTCCCCTCGATCCCCCACTAGCCCCTCCCCTCAATCCCCCACTAGCCCCTCCCCTCAATCCCCGACTAGCCCCTCCCCTCAACCACCCACTAGCCCCTCCCCTCGATCCCCCACTACCCCTCCCCTCAATCCCCCACTACCCCTCCCCTCAATCCCCCACTAGCCCCTCCACTTGATCTATAGGTCTCTGTGTGGTGAGTCTATGGGTCTCTGTGTGGTGAGTTTATGGGTCTCTGTGTAATGAGTCTATGGGTCTCTGTGTGGTGAGTCTATGGGTCTCTGTGTGGTAAGTCTATGGGTCTCTGTGTGATGAGTCTATGGGTCTCTGTGTGGTGAGTCTATGGGTCTCTGTGTGGTGGGTCTCTGTGTGGTGAGTCTATGGGTCTCTGTGTGGTGAGTCTATGGGTCTCTGTGTGGTAAGTCTATGGGTCTCTGTGTGATGAGTCTATGGGTCTCTGTGTGGTGAGTCTATGGGTCTCTGTGTGGTGGGTCTCTGTGTGGTGAGTCTATGGGTCTCTGTGTGGTGAGTCTATGGGTCTCTGTGTGGTGAGTCTATGGGTCTCTGTGTGATGAGTCTATGGGTCTCTGTGTGGTGAGTCTATGGGTCTCTGTGTGGTGAGCCTATGGGTCTCTGTGTGGTGAGTCTATGGGTCTCTGTGTGGTGAGTCTATGGGTCTCTGTGTGATGAGTCTATGGGTCTCTGTGTGATGAGTCTATGGGTCTCTGTGTGATGAGTCTATGGGTCTCTGTGTGGTGAGTCTATGGGTCTCTGTGTGATGAGTCTATTGGGCTCTGTGTGGTGAGTCTATGGGTCTCTGTGTGATGAGTCTATTGGGCTCTGTGTGGTGAGTCTATGGGTCTCTGTGTGGTGAGTCTATGGGTCTCTGTGTGATGAGTCTATGGGTCTCTGTGTAATGAGTCTATGGGTCTCTGTGTAATGAGTCTATGGGTCTCTGTGTGGTGAGTCTATGGGTCTCTATGTGGTGAGTTTATGGGTCTCTGTGTAATGAGTCTATGGGTCTCTGTGTGGTGAGTCTATGGGTCTCTGTGTGGTAAGTCTATGGGTCTCTGTGTGATGAGTCTATGGGTCTCTGTGTGGTGAGTCTATGGGTCTCTGTGTGGTGGGTCTCTGTGTGGTGAGTCTATGGGTCTCTGTGTGGTGAGTCTATGGGTCTCTGTGTGGTGAGTCTATGGGTCTCTGTGTGATGAGTCTATGGGTCTCTGTGTGGTGAGTCTATGGGTCTCTGTGTGATGAGTCTATTGGGCTCTGTGTGGTGAGTCTATGGGTCTCTGTGTGATGAGTCTATTGGGCTCTGTGTGGTGAGTCTATGGGTCTCTGTGTGGTGAGTCTATGGGTCTCTGTGTGATGAGTCTATGGGTCTCTGTGTAATGAGTCTATGGGTCTCTGTGTAATGAGTCTATGGGTCTCTGTGTGGTGAGTCTATGGGTCTCTATGTGGTGAGTTTATGGGTCTCTGTGTAATGAGTCTATGGGTCTCTGTGTGGTGAGTCTATGGGTCTCTGTGTGATGAGTCTATGGGTCTCTGTGTGATGAGTCTATGGGTCTCTGTGTGGTGAGTCTATGGGTCTCTGTGTGATGGGTCTCTGTGTGGTGAGTCTATGGGTCTCTGTGTGGTGAGTCTATGGGTCTCTGTGTGGTGAGTCTATGGGTCTCTGTGTGATGAGTCTATGGGTCTCTGTGTGGTGAGTCTATGGGTCTCTGTGTGGTGAGCCTATGGGTCTCTGTGTGGTGAGTCTATGGGTCTCTGTGTGGTGAGTCTATGGGTCTCTGTGTGGTGAGTCTATGGGTCTCTGTGTGGTGAGTCTATGGGTGTCTGTGTGGTGAGTCTATGGGTCTCTGTGTGGTGAGTCTATGGGTCTCTGTGTGGTGAGTCTATGGGGTCTCTGTGTGGTGAGTCTATGGGTCTCTGTGTGGTGAGTCTATGGGTCTCTGTGTGGTGAGTCTATGGGTCTCTGTGTGGTGAGTATATGGGTCTCTGTGTGGTGAGTCTGTGGGTCTCTGTGTGGTGAGTCTATGGGTCTCTGTGTGGTGAGTCTATGGGTCTCTGTGTGATGAGTTTATGGGTGTCTGTGTGGTGAGTCTATGCGTCTCTGTGTGGTGAGTCTATGGGTCTCTGTGTGGTGAGTCTATGGGTCTCTGTGTGGTGAGTCTATGGGTCTCTGTGTTGTGAGTCTATGGGTCTCTGTATGGTGAGTCTATGGGTCTCTGTGTGGTGAGTCTATGGGTCTCTGTGTGATGAGTCTATGGGTCTCTGTGTGGTGAGTCTATGCGTCTCTGTGTGGTGAGTCTATGGGTCTCTGTGTGGTGAGTCTATGGGTCTCTGTGTGGTGAATCTATGTGTCTTTGTGTGGTGAGTCTATGGGTCTCTGTGTAATGAGTCTATGGGTCTCTGTGTGGTGAGTCTATGGGTCTCTGTGTGATGAGTCTATGGGTCTCTGTGTGGTGAGTCTATGGGTCTCTGTGTGGTGAGTCTATGGGTCTCTGTGTAACGAGTCTATGGGTCTCTGTGTGGTGAGTCTATGGGTGTCTGTGTGATGAGTCTATGGGTCTCTGTGTGGTGAGTCTATGGGTCTCTGTGTGGTGAGTCTGTGGGTCTCTGTGTGGTGAGTCTGTGGGTCTCTGTTTGGTGAGTCTATGGGTCTCTGTGTGATGAGTCTATGGGTCTCTGTGTGATGAGTCTATGGGTCTCTGTGTGGTGAGTCTATGGGTCTCTGTGTGGTGAGTCTATGGGTCTCTGTGTGGTGAGTCTATGGGTCTCTGTGTGGTGAGTCTATGGGTCTCTGTGTGGTGAGTCTATGGGTCTCTGTGTGGTGAGTCTATGGGTCTCTGTGTGTTGAGTCTATGGGTCTCTGTGTGGTGAGTCTACACACAGACAAAGATCCCCCGTGTAGCCTCTCGCAGGCTGTAGGGGCAAGTGCTGTCAGTAGCGAGTAACAGCTCCAATGAAGGCTACCGGCACTGTGGCACACACAGAGGGGGGTGGGTGGCCAGCACCACGCTCGGCCGCCTTTGTCTCCCCAGTGGCAATGTTTACACACCGCACCAGGTACTCATTTGAGGCTGAGTCGACCTAGGGGAGGCCCGGGACCGGTTCAGATAATCGTCACTGGCGGTGTTGGCCGTGAGCGGGAATCGAACCCGGGTCGCCGGGTTCATAGCGCAGCGTAGCGCTAACCACTACACTACCGCTCCCCAACACAGACACACACACACAGACACACACACACAGAGACACACACACAGACACACACAGACACACACACACACACAGACAGACACACACACAGACAGTGCGCTAACCACTGCACCACCACTCCCCACTCACACACACACAGTGCGCTAACCACTGCACCACCACTCCCCACACACACACACAGTGCGCTAACCACTGCACCACCACTCCCCACTCACACACAGTGTGCTAACCACTGCACCACCACTCCCCACTCACACACACAGTGCGCTAACCACTGCACCACCACTCCCCACTCACACACACACAGTGCGCTAACCACTGCACCACCACTCACACTCACACAGTGCGCTAACCACTGCACCACCATTGTCTGCACCCCTCCCATCCCCCCTCTCCCCTCTTCCCCCCACCCCCCCCACCCCCCACCCACCACCCCCCACCTCCGCCCCCCCCCCCCCACTACCCCCACCTCACAACCCACAGTTTTCGCCGGATCTCAAGAAGCTCTACTGTCAAATCGCCAAGACCTGCCCCATCCAGATCAGGGTCGGCGGTGGCCAGACTCAACAGCAGCAGCAGCAACAACAACATCAGCAGCAGCTGCAGCTGATGCAGCAGCAGCAGCATCAGCCGCAGCATCAGCAGCAGCTGCCCCTACAGCCTGCACCACCGCCTCCACCTCCACCACCGCCGCCGGGCTGCGTCCTCCGCGCCATGCCCGTCTACAAGAAGGCGGAGCACGTGACGGAGGTGGTGAAGCGATGCCCCAATCACGAGCTGGGCCGCGAGTTCAACGAGGGTGAGTACCGGGCGCGGGGTTCCCCGGCCGAGATTTGGGACGACAGCGGACGCAGAGCTACAGCGGTGGCGGCGGTCTGGAGCCCCCCCCGGGCGCCTTGGTAGGGGCGACGTCAATTGCGAGCGGACAGGGGAGAGGCGAAAGGCCGAAAGTTGATTGTGGGGACGTGGTGCCGGGTGCTGCCACGTGGAATTGTTCGAATTGCTCGCCGCGGACGTGGAGGAGAGAGAGGCTGCCGCTCCTCCGTCGGGAGCTGGGCCGGTACCGCCCCGGGATCTCTGCGGCAGTCAGGAGCTCCCCGTACATCGGCTCCGGCTCCTTCCACGGCAAAAAGCCACCGCGGGTGGCCACGTGGAATTGTTCGAATTGCTCGCCGCGGACGTGGAGGAGAGAGAGGCTGCCGCTCCTCTGTCGGGAGCTGGGCCGGTACCGCCCCGGATCTCTGCGGCAGTCAGGAGCTCCCCGTACATCGGCTCCGGCTCCTTCCACGGCAAAAAGCCACCGCGGGCGGCCACGTGGAATTGTTCGAATTGCTCGCCGCGGACGTGGAGAGAGAGGCTGCCGCTCCTCTGTCGGGAGCTGGGCCGGTACCGCCCCGGGATCTCTGCGGCAGTCAGGAGCTCCCCGTACATCGGCTCCGGCTCCGTCCACAGCAAAAAGCCACCGCGGGCGGCCACGTGGAATTGTTCGAATTGCTCGCCGCGGACGTGGAGGAGAGAGGCTGCCGCTCCTCTGTCGGGAGCTGGACCGGTACCGCCCCGGATCTCTGCGGCAGTCAGGAGCTCCCCGTACATCGGCTCCGGCTCCGTCCACGGCAAAAAGCCACCGCGGGTGGCCACGTGGAATTGTTCGAATTGCTCGCCGCGGACGTGGAGAGAGAGGCTGCCGCTCCTCTGTCGGGAGCTGGACCGGTACCGCCCGGATCTCTGCGGCAGTCAGGAGGTCCGGTGGACCGGCTCTGGCTCCTGCCACCATGAGGGGTGGACAGTCCTCTACTCGGTGCAGCAGACTGCCAAACAACAGGGTGTGGCTCTTGTTCTGAACAAAAAAAGAATGAAGGGGGCATGGGAGCGTGGCGGTGAGGTGTGGGAAGCTGTAAGCCCCAGGCTACTTTGGGCTCGCCTTCCCATCAACCGGAGGCGAAAGGAGTGGTGGTCGTGGTTACTTATGCCCCCACCGAAGACGAACATCCGTAAAGGGATGCAGGCAAGGCCGATGAGTCAGATGCCTTCTATGACCTCCTGTCACAGGTGCTGGCTAAAGTGGCCCCTCGGGATAGAGTCATCTTGTTGGGTGACTTCAAAGCCCGAGTTGGTCATGATGCTGGCACCTGGTTAGGAGTGATTGGAGGGCATGGGCCAGATCAGCTCAATAACAACGGTAGGAGGCTGCTAGATTTTTGTGCAGCCTATGGGCTTGTAATTATCAACACGCTGTTCCGGCATCGGCGCATCCACACAACATCATGGATGCATGCCGGGTCCAAGCAAGAACATCTGCTGGACTACATAGTGACGGACCAGCGGATGCGGGCCCATGTCCTTGACACCAGGACCTACCGTGGACCTGATCTGCCCTCTGACCATCGACTAGTCATCTGTAAGATGCGCCTGCCCTTCTTCCACTCCGGTGGTGGGTGTACACCCAGGACCCCATTCCAACCTAAGGTGGCCTGGTCTCAGCTCGCTGATGAAGGTTGCAAGCGAGAATTTCATCGTTGCTTGCAGCTGGGGTTGGCATCGTCCCCCACTCCTCCTGATGTCGAGGGTTAATGGGAAAGGTTTAGGACTGTGACTCATGCAGCTGCAATGGCTGCTTTGGGTACGCGGTCCAGACCTCCCCAGAGACCCTGGCTGACAGAGGTGTTCAGGATAGTTGAGAAAAAGCGACAGGCCCACTCTCATCGGCTACAGAATCCCACGTCAGAGAATGAGGAGGCTTACCGCAGCCTTTGCTCGGAGGTTCGGAGAGCCGTGAGGCACTGCAAGGATGGGTGGTGGTCGCGGGTTGCTGAGGAGATGGAGTCTGCCTCAATGGCCCGCGATCACAAATCTCTATTTAACTCCATCAAAAAAGTAACCTGCAGCGCCACACCTATTACCATCATTAGGGGAAAGAACGGTGATCCAATCTCCGACTCCCAGGAACAGGTTTGCAGATTTACTGAGCCTTTCTATGAGGTCCTGGGGGAGGGGAAATCTCTCAGCCTGGAAAACATCGTGGCACAAAGTGGGGATGACCCTGCTGAGGCTGCGGTGCCTCAAATATTGGAAGAAGAAGTCACTCCCTGTGAGTGGCTGGCTGAGGTGCCATCTGTTGAGAAAGTACTGAAGGCGATCCAGAGTCTGAGACCAGGAAAGGCATCGGGCAGAGATGATCTCCCAAGCGAAATGCTGAGTGAGGGTGGCGTTTGTACACAGACTGCCCTATATGACATCATAAGAACAGTCTGGACCACTGGACGGGTTCCGCAGGATTGGAAGGATGCCCTGGTGGTCCCCCTCTTTAAGAAGGGGGACCGCACAGACTGTAACAACTACAGGGGCATCTCACTCCTCAGTGTGCCGGGAAAGGTCCTGGCAAGGATTATTCAACATCGCCTTGCCAGGCACGCTGAGGAGAGGCTTGCGGAGCCCCAAAGTGGTTTCAGGAAAGGGCGGTCCTGCACAGATGCCATATTTTCTGTCCGTCTACTACAGCAGAGGTATTGGGAATTCCAACAAGACCTACATCTCTGCTTTATTGACCTAGTCAAGGCCTATGCTACCATCAGTAGGCCTGGGCTCTGGGTTGTTCTTCGTGCTTTTGGAGTACCTGACCCTCTGCTCACGATCATTAAGGACCTTCATGATGGTGAGCGGGCCCGGGTAAAACTACATGGCCGGGAGTCTGAGCCATTCCCTGTTCACCTTGGGGTGTGACAGGGATGTCCTCTGGCTCCCACATTATTTAACATCTATTTTGACCACGTAGTTCGTGAAGCCTTCAATAGCTGTACCGGAGGAATTTCCATCTGGTACAGATACAATGGGAGGCTGATCGATACCCGGGTGCGGTCAAGGGATGGCTCCCTATTGCTCAACCACGTTATGTATGCCGATGATTTGGTAATTGCTGCTCATTCAGAGGAGGATTTGGAGACGCTGCTGCTGAGACTGGAGCGTGCCACTAAGAGGTGGGGCCGTACCATCAGCCCCACCAAAACGAAGCACCTGCCTGGGTATTTTGTACCATCGGACACTCCACCCCCACAACTCCCAATCGGTGATGGGGCAGTTGTGGATGATGATACTACTACTAATGATGATGATACTACTAATGATGATACTACTACAAATGATGATACTACTACAAATGGTGATGATGATACTACTACTAATCATGATGATACTACTAATGATGATGAAACTACTAATGATGATGATGATACTACTAATGATGATACTACTACTGATGATGATTCTACTACTACTAATTATGATGATACTACTTATGATGATGATACTACTGATGATGATACTGCTTCTGATGATGATGATGATACTACTACTGATGATGATGATGGTACTACTACTAATGATGATGATACTACTACTATTGATGATGATGATACTACTGATGATGATACTACTGATGATGATGACACTAATACTAATGATGATGATAATACTACTAATGATGATGATACTACTACTAATGATGATGATACTACTACTATTGATGATGATACTACTGATGATGATGCTACTACTGATGATGATACTACTACTGCTGATGATGATACTACTACTGATGTGGATACTACTACTAATGATGATACTACTGATGATGATGATACTACTGCTGCTGATGATGATACTGATGATGATACTACTACTCCTGATGATGATGATACTACTACTAATGATGATGATACTACTAATGATGATGATACTACTACTGATACTACTGCTGATACTACTACTGCTGATACTACTGCTACTGCTGATACTACGACTGCTGACACTACTAATGATGATGATACTACTAGTGATGATACTACTAATGATGATGATACTACTGCTGATACTACTACTGCTGACACTACTAATGATGATACTACTACTGATACTACTGCTGACACTACTAATGATACTACTGCTGATACTACTGCTACTGCTGATACTACTACTGCTGATACTACTAATGATGATGATACTACTAGTGATGATACTACTGATGATGATGATACTACTACTAATGATGATGATACTACTACTAGTGATGATACTACTAATTATGATGATACTATTGATACTACTGCTGATACTACTACTACTGCTGATACTACTGCTACTGCTGATACTACTAATGATGATGATACTACTACTGCTGATACTACTGCTACTGCTGATACTACTAATGATGATGATACTACTACTGCTGATACTACTGCTACTGCTGATACTACTAATGATGATGATACTATTGCTACTGCTGATACTACTGCTACTGCTGATACTACTAATGATGATGATACTACTACTGCTGATACTACTACTGCTGATACTACTAATGATGATGATACTACTACTAGTGATGATACTGCTAATGATGATGATACTACTGCTGATACTACTAATTATGATGATACTACTACTGCTGATACTACTGCTACTGCTGATACTACTGCTGATACTACTGCTACTGCTGATACTACTAATGATGATGATACTACTACTGCTGATACTACTGCTACTGCTGATACTACTAATGATGATGATACTACTACTGCTGATATTACTGCTACTGCTGATACTACTAATGATGATGATACTATTGCTACTGCTGATACTACTGCTACTGCTGATACTACTAATGATGATGATACTACTACTAGTGATGATACTACTAATGATGATGATACTACTACTGCTGATACTACTACTGCTGACACTACTAATGATGACGATACTACTACTAGTGATGATACTGCTAATGATGATGATACTACTGCTGATACTACTAATTATGATGACACTACTACTGCTGATACTACTGCTACTGCTGATACTACTGCTACTGCTGATACTACTGCTGATACTACTGGTACTGCTGATACTACTGCTACTGCTGATACTACTAATGATGATGATACTACTACTGCTGATACTACTGCTACTGCTGATACTACTAATGATGATGATACTACTACTAATGATGATGATACTACTACTAGTGATGATACTACTAATGATGATGATACTACTACTAATGATGATGATACTACTGCTGATACTACTACTAGTGATGATAATACTAATGATGATGATACTACTGCTGATACTACTACTAGTGATGATACTACTAATGATGATGATACTACTGCTGATACTACTACTAGTGATGATACTACTAATGATGATGATACTACTACTACTGCTGATACTACTAATGATGATGATACTACTACTAGTGATGATACTACTAATGCTGATGATACTACTACTGCTGATACTACTGCTACTGCTGATACTACTAATGATACTACTACTGCTGACGCTACTAATGATGATGATACTACTACTGCTGATACTACTACTGCTGATACTACTAATGATGATGATACTACTACTAGTGATGATACTACTAATGATGATGATACTACTACTAGTGATGATACTACTAATGATGATGATACTACTGCTACTGCTGACACTACTAATGATGATGATACTACTACTGCTGATACTACTGCTACTGCTGATACTACTAATGATGATGATACTACTACTAGTGATGATACTACTAATGATGATGATACTACTACTAGTGATGATACTACTAATGATGATGATACTACTGCTACTGCTGATACTACTAATGATGATGATACTACTGCTGACACTACTGCTGATGGCATGCAGGCCAGTCAGCTCCCACCTCGCACCTCATCCGCGTGGAGGGCAACGCCCTCGCTCACTACACAGAGCAGCCGGCAAGCGGAAGGCAAAGTGTGGCAGTGCCGTATGAGGCTCCCCAGGTCAGTCACTCAGTCACTCACTCAGTCAGTCAGTCACCTACTCAGTCACTCAGTCAGTCACTCAGTCAGTCAGTCAGTCACCTACTCAGTCACTCAGTCAGTCACTCACTCAGTCAGTCAGTCACCTACTCAGTCACTCAGTCAGTCACTCACTCAGTCAGACAGTCGCCCACTCAGTCACTCAGTCAGTCAGTCAGTCACTCAGTCAGTCACTCACTCAGTCAGTCACTCAGTCACTCACTCAGTCACTCACTCAGTCAGTCACTCAGTCACTCAGTCACTCAGTCAGTCACTCACTCACTCAGTCACTCACTCACTCAATCAGTCAGTCACTCAGTCAGTCACTCACTCAGTCAGTCACTCAGTCACTCAGTCAGTCACTCACTCAGTCACTCAGTCAGTCACTCAGTCACCCACTCAGTCACTCACTCAGTCAGTCAGTCACCCACTCAGTCACTCAGTCAGTCACTCAGTCACCCACTCAGTCACTCACTCAGTCAGTCAGTCACCCACTCAGTCACTCAGTCAGTCACTCAGTCAGTCACTCAGTCAGTCACTCACTCAGTCACTCAGTCAGTCACTCAGTCACCCACTCAGCCAGTCACTCAGTCACTCAGTCAGTCAGTCACTCAGTCACTCAGTCAGTCATTCAGTCACTCAGTCACTCACTCAGTCAGTCAGTCACCCACTCAGTCACTCAGTCAGTCACTCACTCACTCACTCAGTCACTCAGTAACTCACTCAGTCAGTCAGTCACTCAGTCACTCAGTCACTCACTCAGTCAGTTACTCAGTCAGTCACTCAGTCACTCAGTCAGTCACTCAGTCACTCAGTCACTCACTCAGTCAGTCAGTCACTCACTCAGTCACTCACTCACTCAGTCACTCAGTCACTCACCCACTCAGTCACTCAGTCACTCACCCACTCAGTCAGTCAGTCGCCCACTCAGTCACTCAGTCAGTCACTCAGTCAGTCACTCAGTCAGTCAGTCACTCAGTCACTCACTCAGTCACTCAATCAGTCAGTCACTCAGTCAGTCAATCAGTCAGTCAGTCACCCACTCAGTCAGTCACTCAGTCAGTCACTCAGTCAGTCACTCAGTCAGTCAGTCACCCACTCAGTCAGTCACTCAGTCACTCACTCAGTCAGTTAATCACTCACTCAGTCACTCAGTTACTCACTCAGTCACTCAGTCAGTCAGTCACTCAGTCAGTCACTCAGTCACTCACTCAGTCAGTCAGTCACCCACTCAGTCAGTCACTCAGTCAGTCACTCAGTCAGTCACTCAGTCAGTCAGTCAGTCACCCACTCAGTCACTCACTCAGTCACTCAGTCACTCACTCAGTCAGTCAATCACTCACTCAGTCAGTCACTCACTCAGTCACTCAGTCAGTCACTCACTCAGTCAGTTACTCAGTCACTCAGTCACTCACTCAGTCAGTCAGTCACTCACTCAGTCACTCACTCACTCAGTCACTCACTCAGTCACTCACTCAGTCAGTCACTCAGTCAGTCACTCAGTCACTCATTCAGTCACTCACTCAATCAGTCAGTCACTCAGTCACTCACTCAGTCACTCAGTCACTCACTCACTCACTCAGTCAGTCAGTCACCCACTCAGTCACTCAGTCAGTCAGTCACTCACTCAGTCACTCAGTCAGTCACTCAATCACACAGTCACTCACTCAGTCACTCACTCAGTCACTCACTCACTCACTCAGTCACTCAATCAGTCACCCACTCAGTCACTCACTCAGTCACTCACTCAGTCACTCACTCAGTCACTCAGTCAATCACTCACTCAGTCAGTCACTCAGTCAGTCACTCAGTCACTCACTCAATCAGTCACTCACTCAGTCACTCACTCAGTCACTCAGTCACTCACTCGGTCAGTCACTCAGTCACTCAGTCAGTCACTCAGTCACTCACTCAGTTACTCAGTCAGTCACTCAGTCACTCACTCAGTCACTCACTCAGTCAGTCACTCAGTCACTCAGTCACTCAGTCAGTCACTCAGTCAGTCACTCAGTCACTCACTCAGTCACTCAGTCACTCACTCAGTCAGTCACTCACTCAGTCAGTCACTCAGTCAGTCAGTCACCCACTCAGTCAGTCACTCAGTCACTCACTCAGTCACTCAGTCAGTCAGTCACTCACTCAGTCACTCACTCAGTCACTCACTCAATCAGTCAGTGACTCAGTCACTCACTCAGTCACTCAGTCACTCAGTCACTCAGTCAGTCAGTCACCCACTCAGTCAATCACTCAGTCACTCACTCACTCAGTCACTCAGTCAGTCACTCACTCAGTAACTCACTCAGTCACCCACTCAGTCACACACTCACTCAGTCACTCACTCACTCAGTCACTCAGTCACTCACTTACTCAGTCACTCAGTCACTCACTCACTCACACACTCACTCACCCACTCACTCACTCAGTTACTCACTCACTCACACACTCACTCACACACACACTCACTCAGTCACTCACTCTCTCAGCCAGCCACTCACTCACTCACCCAGCCACTCACTCAAACACACACACACACTCACTCACCCACTCACTCACTCACCCACTCACTCACTCACCCACTCACCCACTCACTCACCCACTCACCTACTCACCCACCCATTCACCCACTCACTCACTCACCCACTCACTCAGTCACTCACTGACTCACTCACTCACCCACTCACCCACTCACTCACTCACCCAGCCACTCACTCACCCACACACTCACCCACTCACTCACTCACACACTCACTCACACACTCACTCACTCACTTACCCACTCACTCAGCCACCCACTCACCCACTCACTCACCCACTCACCCACCCACTCATCCACTCACTCACCCACCCACTCACTCACTCACCCACTCACCCACTCACTCACCCACTCACCCACCCACTCACCCACTCACCCACTCACTCCCTCATTCACTCATCCACCCATTCATCCACCCACTCACTGAACCACTCATTCATTCATTCATTCACCCAACCCATCACTCACCGACTCCTTGAGTGAATGAGTAAGTGAATGAGTGAGTGAATGAGTAAGTGAATGAGTGAGTGAATGAGTGAGTGAATGAGTGAGTGAATGAGTGGGTGAATGCGTGAGTGGGTGAGTTAGTGAATGAGTGAGTGAATGAGTTAGTGAATGAGTGGGTGAGTTGGTGAATGAGTGAGTGAATGAATGTGTGAATGAGTGAGTGATTAAGTGAATGAGTGAGTGAATGCGTAAGTGGGTGAGTTAGTGAATGAGTGAGTGAATGAGTTAGTGAATGAGTGGGTGAGTTGGTGAATGAGTGAGTGAATGAATGTGTGAATGAGTGAGTGATTAAGTGAATGAGTGAGTGAATGCGTAAGTGGGTGAGTTAGTGAATGAGTGAGTGAATGAGTGAGTGAGTTAGTGAATGGGTGAGTGAATGCGTGAGTGGGTGAGTTAGTGAATGAGTGAGTGAATTAGTGAATCAGTTAGTGAATGAGTGGGTGAGTTACTGAATGAGTGAGTGTATGAGTGAGTGAATGAGTGAGTGAATGAGTGGGTGAGTTGGTGAATGAGTGAGTGAATGAGTGAGTGAATGAGTGAGTGGGTGACTTAGTGAATAAGTGAGTGAATAAGTGAATTAGTGAATGGGTGAGTGAATGAGTGAGTGAATGCGTGGGTGAGTGAGTGAATGAGTGAGTGAATTAGTGAGTAGATGAATTAGTGAATGAGTGATTGAGTGAGTGAATCAGTGAGTGAATGAGTGGGTGAGTTGGTGAATGAGTGAGTGAATGAGTGAGTGAATGAGTTAGTGAATGAGTGAGTGAATGAATGTGTGAATGAGTGAGTGAGTTAGTGAATGAGTGAGTGACTGAGTGAGTGAATGAGTGAGCGAATGAGTGAGTGAATGAGTGAGTGTGTGAGTTAGTGAATGAGTGAGTGAATGAGTGAGTGGGTGAGTTAGTGAATGAGTGAGTGAATGAGTAAGTGAATGAGTGAATTAGTGAATGAGTGAGTTAATAAGTGAGTGAATGCGTGCGTGAATGAGTGAATGAGTGAGTGAATGAGTGAGTGAATTAGTGAGTGGATGAGTTAGTGAATGAGTAAGTGTATGAGTGAGTGAATGAGTTAATGACTGTGTGAGTGAATGAGTGAGTGAATAAGTGAGTGGGTGAGTTAGTGAATGAATGAGTGAATGAGTGAGTGAGTTAGTGAATGAGTGAGTGAATGAGTGAGTGAATGAGTGAGTGAATGATTGAGTGAATGAGTGGGTGAGTTGGTGAATGAGTGAGTGAATGAGTGAGTGAGTTCGTGAACGAGTGAGTGAATGAATGAGTGAATGAGTGAGTGAATGAGTGGGTGAGTTAGTGAATGAGTGAGTGAATGAGTGGGTGAGTTGGTGAATGAGTGAGTGAATGAGTGAGTGAGTTCGTGAACGAGTGAGTGAATGAATGAGTGAATGAGTGAGTGAATGAGTGAGTGGGTGAGTTAGTGAATAAGTGAGTGAATAAGTGAATTAGTGAATGGGTGAGTGAATGAGTGAGTGAATGCGTGGGTGAGTGAGTGAATGAGTGAGTGAATTAGTGAGTAGATGAGTTAGTGAATGAGTGATTGAGTGAGTGAATCAGTGAGTGAATGAGTGGGTGAGTTGGTGAATGAGTGAGTGAATGAGTGAGTGAATGAGTTAGTGAATGAGTGAGTGAATGAATGTGTGAATGAGTGAGTGAGTTAGTGAATGAGTGAGTGACTGAGTGAGTGAATGAGTGAGCGAATGAGTGAGTGAATGAGTGAGTGTGTGAGTTAGTGAATGAGTGAGTGAATGAGTGAGTGGGTGAGTTAGTGAATGAGTGAGTGAATGAGTAAGTGAATGAGTGAATTAGTGAATGAGTGAGTTAATAAGTGAGTGAATGCGTGCGTGAATGAGTGAATGAGTGAGTGAATGAGTGAGTGAATTAGTGAGTGGATGAGTTAGTGAATGAGTAAGTGTATGAGTGAGTGAATGAGTTAATGACTGTGTGAGTGAATGAGTGAGTGAATAAGTGAGTGGGTGAGTTAGTGAATGAGTGAGTGAATGAGTGAGTGAGTTAGTGAATGAGTGAGTGAATGAGTGAGTGAATGAGTGAGTGAATGATTGAGTGAATGAGTGGGTGAGTTGGTGAATGAGTGAGTGAATGAGTGAGTGAGTTCGTGAACGAGTGAGTGAATGAATGAGTGAATGAGTGAGTGAATGAGTGGGTGAGTTAGTGAATGAGTGAGTGAATGAGTGGGTGAGTTGGTGAATGAGTGAGTGAATGAGTGAGTGAGTTCGTGAACGAGTGAGTGAATGAATGAGTGAATGAGTGAGTGAATGAGTGAGTGGGTGAGTTAGTGAATGAGTGAGTGAATGAGTGGGTGAGTTGGTGAATGAGTGAGTGAATGAGTGAGTGAGTTCGTGAACGAGTGAGTGAATGAATGAGTGAATGAGTGAGTGAATGAGTGAGTGGGTGAGTTAGTGAATGAGTGAGTGAATGAGTGAGTGGGTGACTTAGTGAATGACTGAATGAGTGAGTGAGGGAATGAGTGAGTTAATGAGTGAGTGAATGAGTGAGTGGGTGAGTGAGTGAGTGAATGCCCCTACAGCCTGCTAGAGGCTACCTGGAGGATCTTTGTCTGTGTAGGTACTGCTACTCGCTACTGACAGCACTTGCCCCTACAGCCTGCTAGAGGCTACACGGGGGATCTTTGTCTGTGTGTAGGTGCCACTAACAGCACTTGCCCCTACAGCCTGCTAGAGGCTACACGGGGGATCTTTGTCTGTGTGTAGGTGCCACTAACAGCACTTGCCCCTACAGCCTGCTAGAGGCTACCTGGGGGATCTTTGTCTGTGTGTAGGTGCTGCTACTACTAACAGCACTTGCCCCTACAGCCTGCTAGAGGCTACCTGGGTGACATTTGCCCTTACCCCTTCCTGGTTTCCAGGTGGGTACTGAATACACGACAGTACTGTACAACTTCATGTGCAACAGCAGCTGCGTAGGAGGCATGAATCGAAGACCCATCCTCATCATCATCACCCTGGAGACGCACACGTGAGGGATAAACTGAGTACTCACCCAGGCACTCGCTCAGCCAGTCACTCGCTCAGTCAGTCACTCGCTCAAACGCTCAGTCACTCACTCAACCGCTCAGTCACTCACTCAACCAGTCACCCACTCACTCAACCACTCACTCAGTCACTCACTCAGTCACTCAACCAGTCAGTCACTCACTCACCCACTCACTCAGTCACTCACTCAGTCATTCAACCAGTCAGTCACTCACCCACTCACTCAACCACTCACTCAGCCACTCACCCACTCAGTCACTCACCCACTCAGTCACTCAGTCACTCATTCAGTCAGTTACTCGCTCAGTCAGTCACTCGCTCAGTCACTCGCTCAGACACTCACTCAACCACTCACCCACTCACTCACTCACCTACCCACTCACCCACCCACTCACCCACTCACTCACCCACTCACTCACCCACCCACTCACTCACCCACTTACCCACTCACTCATCCACTCACCCACTCACTCACTCACCCACTCATTCACTCACCCACCCACTCACTCACTCACCCACTCACTCACTCACCCACTCACTCACTCACTCACCCACCCACCCACTCATCCACACACCCACTCACTCACTCACCCACTCATTCACTCACCCACTCACTCACTCACCCACCCACCCACTCACTCACCCACTTACCCACCCACACACTCACTCACCCACCCACACACTCACTCACCCACCCACTCACCCACTCACTCACCCACCCACTCACCCACTCACTCACCCACCCACCCACCCACTCACCCACCCACCCACTCACCCACCCACTCACCCACTCACTCACCCACCCACTCACTCACCCACCCACCCACTCACTCACTCACCCACTCACTCACTCACCCACCCACCCACTCACCCACTCATCCACTCACTCACCCACTCACCCACCCACCCACTCACTCACCGACTCACCCACTCACTCACCCACCCACCCACCCACTCACCCACCCACCCACTCACCCACCCACTCACCCACCCACTCACTCACTCACCCACCCACTCACTCACCCACTCACTCACTCACCCACCCACTCATTCACTAACTCACTCACCCACTCACCCACCCACCCACTCACTCACCCACTCACTCACTCACCCACTTACCCACCCACACACTCACTCACCCACCCACACACTCACTCACCCACCCACACACTCACTCACTCACCCACTCACCCACCCACTCACTCACCCACTCATTCACTCACCCACCCACTCACTCACTCACCCACTCACTCACTCACCCACTCACTCACTCACCCACCCACCCACTCATCCACACACCCACTCACTCACTCACCCACTCATTCACTCACCCACTCACTCACTCACCCACCCACCCACTCACTCACCCACTTACCCACCCACACACTCACTCACCCACCCACACACTCACTCACCCACCCACTCACCCACTCACTCACCCACCCACTCACCCACTCACTCACCCACCCACCCACCCACTCACCCACCCACCCACTCACCCACCCACTCACCCACTCACTCACTCACCCACTCACTCACCCACCCACCCACTCACTCACTCACCCACTCACTCACTCACTGACCCACTCACCAACCCACGCACTCACTCACTCACCAACCCACCCACTCACTCAGCCACTCACCCACTCACTCACCCACCCACCCACCCACTCACCCACCCACCCACTCACCCACCCACTCACCCACCCACTCACTCACTCACCCACCCACTCACTCACCCACTCACTCACTCACCCACCCACCCACCCACTCACCCACTCATCCACTCACTCACTAACTCACTCACCCACTCACCCACCCACCCACACACTCACCCACTCACTCACTCACCCACCTACCCACCCACACACTCACTCACCCACCCACACACTCACTCACCCACCCACACACTCACTCACTCACCCACTCACCCACCCACTCACTCACCCACTCACTCACCCACTCACCCACCCACCCACTCACTCACCCACCCACTCACCCACTCACCCACTCACTCACCCACCCACTCGCTCACTCACTCACCCACCCACTCACTCACCCACCCACCCACTCACCCACTCATCCACTCACTCACTAACTCACTCACCCACTCACCCACCCACCCACTCACTCACCCACTCACTCACTCACCCACTTACCCACCCACACACTCACTCACCCACCCACACACTCACTCACCCACCCACACACTCACTCACTCACTCACCCACTCACTCACCCACCCACTCACTCACCCACTCACTCACCCACTCACCCACCCACCCACTCACTCACCCACCCACTCACCCACTCACCCACTCACCCACTCACTCACTCACCCACCCACTCGCTCACTCACTCACCCACCCACTCACTCACCCACTCACTCACCCACCCACCCACCCACTCACCCACTCATCCACTCACTCACTAACTCACTCACCCACTCACCCACCCACTCACTCACCCACTCACTCACTCACCCACTTACCCACCCACACACTCACTCACCCACCCACACACTCACTCACCCACCCACACACTCACTCACTCACCCACTCACCCACCCACCCACTCACTCACCCACTCACTCACCCACTCACCCACCCACCCACTCACTCACCCACCCACCCACCCACTCACCCACCCACTCACCCACCCACTCACCCACCCACACACTCACTCACCCACCCACTCACCCACCCACCCACTCACCCACCCACCCACCCTCTCACCCTCGCGTCCCTCCCTGCTCAGGGGCCACGTGCTGGGACGTCGGTCCTTCGAGGCTCGCATCTGCGCGTGCCCTGGACGAGATCGTAAGGCTGACGAGGAAAACTTCATCAAGATGCAGCAGCAGCAACAGCAACAGCAGACTGCGGATGGCAAGCTCACTCAAACGTCGGGGAAGAGACGTACGTGCACCTAGCCTGGCACAGCAGTGCAGCCCGTGGTGGCACCTACAGGGTCTGTCCACGTGACCTCCACCTCGTGCACCTAGCCTGGCACAGCAGTGCAGCCCGAGGTGGCACCTGCAGGGTCTGTCCACGTGACCTCCACCTCGTGCACCTAGCCTGGCACAGCAGTACAAGCCATGGCACCTACAGGGTCTGTCACGTGACCATCTCCCCATGCACATAGCCTGGCACAGCAGTACAACCCATGGCACCTACAGGGTCTGTCACGTGACATCTTCATGCACCTAGCCTGGCACAGCAGTGCAGCCCGTGGTGGCACCTACAGGGTCTGTCCACGTGACCATCTCCCCATGCACCTAGCCTGGCACAGCAGTACAACCCATGGCACCTACAGGGTCTGTCCACGTGACCTCCTCCTGCACCTAGCCTGGCACGGGCACCGTGGTGACGTCACCGTTACTTAGTGGCGAATGGCGGTTGTTGTTGTTGTTGTGTCTGTATGTGTGTGTGTCTGTCTGTGTGTGTGTCTGTGTGTGTGTCTGTGTGTGTGTGTCTGTGTGTGTGTCTGTGTGTGTGTCTGTGTGTGTCTGTGTGTGTCTGTGTGTGTCTGTGTGTGTGTGTCTGTGTGTCTGTGTGTGTGTCTGTGTGTGTGTCTGTGTGTGTGTCTGTGTGTGTCTGTCTGTGTGTGTGTCTGTGTGTGTGTCTGTGTGTGTGTCTGTGTGTCTGTGTTTGTGTCTGTGTGTGTGTGTGTGTGTCTGTGTGTGTGTGTATCTGTGTGTGTGTCTCTGTGTGTGTGTCTGTGTGAGTGTCTGTGTGTGTATGTGTGTGTGTGTCTCTGTGTGTGTGTCTGTGTGTATGTGTGTGTGTGTCTGTGTGTGTGTGTCTGTGTGAGTGTCTGTGTGTGTATGTGTGTGTGTCTGTGGGTGTGTGTCTGTGTGTGTGTGTGTCTGTGTGTGTGTGTCTGTGTGTGTGTCTATGTGTGTGTGTGTCTGTGTGAGTGTCTGTGTGTCTGTGTTTGTGTGTTATCAGTGACGATTATCTGAACCGGTCCTGGGCCTCCCCTAGATCGACTCAGCCTCAAATGAGTACCTGGTGTAGCGGTGGTGGTTGTGGTGTAGTGGTGGTGTAGTGGTGGTGGTGGTAGTGGTGGTGTAGTGGTGGTGGTGGTAGTGGTGGTGTAGTGGTGGTGGTGGTGGTGTAGTGGTGGTGGTAGTGGTGGTGTAGTGTAGTGGTGGTGTAGTGGTGGTGGTAGTAGTGGTGGTAGTGGTGGTGGTAGTGGTGGTGTAGCGGTGGTGGTGGTGGTAGTGGTGGTGGTGGTGTCGTCAGCATCGTTAGCACTGGAGGAGAGACAAAGGCGGCCGGGCGTGGTGGTGCTGGTAGCCACCCCCTCTGTGTGTGCCACAGTGCCGGTAGCCTTCATAGGCGCTGCTACTCGCTACTGACAGCACTTGCCCCTACAGCCTGCTAGAGGCTACACGGGGCATCTTTGTCTGTGTGTGAGTGTCACTGACAGCACTTGCCCCTACAGCCTGCTAGAGGCTACACGGGGGATCTTTGTCTGTGTGTAGGTGATACTGACAACACTTGCCCCTACAGCCTGCTAGAGGCTACCTAGGGCAGCTTTGTCTGTGTGTAGGTGCTACTGACAGCACTTGCCCCTACAGCATGCTAGAGGCTACACGGGGGATCTTTGTCTGTGTGTAGGTTCTACTGACAGCACTTGCCCCTACAGCCTGCTAGATGCTACACGGGGGATCTTTGTCTGTGTGTAGGTGCTGCTACTGACAGCACTTGCCCCTACAGCCTGCTAAAGGCTACCTGGGGGATCTTTGTCTGTGTGTAGGTGCTACTGACAGCACTTGACCCTACAGCCTGCTAGAGGCTACCTGGGGGATCTTTGTCTGTGTGTAGGTTCTGCTGACAGCACTTGCCCCTACAGCCTGCTAGATGCTACACGGGGGATCTTTGTCTGTGTGTAGGTGCTGCTACTGACAGCACTTGCCCCTACAGCCTGCTAGAGGCTACACGGGGGATCTTTGTCTGTGTGTAGGTGCTGCTACTGACAGCACTTGCCCCTACAGCCTGCTAGAGGCTACCTGGGGGATCTTTGTCTGTGTGTAGGTGCTACTGACAGCACTTGCCCCTACAGCCTGCTAGAGGCTACCTGGGGGATCTTTGTCTGTGTGTAGGTGCTGCTACTGACAGCACTTGCCCCTACAGCCTGCTAGAGGCTACCTGGGGGATCTTTGTCCGTGTGTAGGTGCTGCTACTACTCACAGCACTTGCCCCTGCAGTGTGTGAAGGCTACCTGGGGGACCTTTGTCTGTGTAGTGCCGTTCAAGCACGGACCTCACGGGATTCAGTCGAGCAAGAAGCGACGAGTCGGTGACGAGGATCTCTTCTATGTCCCCGTGAGTACCTACCAACATCACTCACAGGGCAACACAGAGGGGGTGGGTGGGTGGGTGAGTGGGTGGGTGGGTGGGTGAGTGGGTGGGTGGGTGAGTGAGTGAGTGGGTGGGTGAGTGAGTGGGTGAGTGGGTGGGTGAGTGAGTGAGTGGGTGAGTGGGTGGGTGAGTGGGTGGGTGGGTGGATGAGTGGGTGGGTGAGTGAGTGGGTGAGTGGGTGAGTGAGTGAGTGGGTGGGTGGGTGAGTGAGTGAGTGGGTGAGTGGGTGGGTGGGTGAGTGGGTGAGTGAGTGGATGGGTGGGTGGGTGAGTGGGTGAGTAAGTGAGTGGGTGGGTGGGTGGGTGAGTGAGTGGGTGAGTGAGGGGGTGAGTGAGTGAGGGGGTGAGTGAGTGGGTGGGTGAGTGGGTGAGTGAGTGTGTGAGTGAGTGGGTGAGTGGGTGGGTGGGTGGGTGAGGGGGTGGGTGGGTGAGTGGGTGAGTGAGTGGGTGAGTGAGGGGGTGAGTGAGTGAGTGGGTGAGTGGGTGGGTGGGAGAGTGGTTGAGTGGGTGAGTGGGTGGGTGAGTGGGTGAGTGAGTGAGTGGGTGGGTGAGTGGGAGGGTGGGTGGATGAGAGAGTGGGTGGGTGAGTGAGTGAGTGGGTGAGTGAATGAGTGAGTGGGTGAGTGTTTGAGTGAGTGGATGGGTGGGTGGGTGAGTGAGTCAGTGAGTCGATGGGTGAGAGTGTGGGTGGGTGAGAGAATGTGTGGGTGAGTGAGTGAGTGGGTGAGTGAGTGGGTGAGTGGGTGAGTGAGTGGGTGAGTGAGTGAGTGAGTGGGTGAGTGAGTGAGTGGGTGAGTGGGTGAGTGGTCGGGTGAGTGAGTGAGTCGATGGGTGAGAGAGTGGGTGGGTGAGTGAGTGGGTGAGTGAGTGAGTGAGTGGGTGAATGAGTGGGTGAGTGAGTGGGTGGGTGGGTGGGTGAGTGAGTGGGTGGGTGAATGGGTGAGTGGGTGAGTGGGTGAGTGGGTGGGTGGGTGAGTGGGTGGGTGAGTGAGTGAGTGGGTGCGTGAGTGAGTGGGTGGGTGAGTGGGTGAGTGGGTGGGTGGGTGGGTGATTGAGTGAGTGAGTGAGTGGGTGGGTGGGTGAGTGGGTGAGTGAGTGAGTGGGTGGGTGGGTGGGTGAGTGGGTGGGTGGGTGAGTGAGTGGGTGAGTGGGTGAGTGAGTGGGTGAGTGGGTGAGTGAGTGGGTGAGTGGGTGAGTGGGTGGATGAGTGAGTGAGTGGGTGGGTGGGTGAGTGAGTGAGTGGGTGAGTGGGTGGGTGGGTGAGTGAGTGAGTGGGTGAGTGGGTGGGTGGGTGAGTGAGTGGGTGGGTGAGTGAGTGGGCGAGTGAGTGAGTGAGTGGGTGGGTGAGTGGGTGGGTGAGTGACTGACTGAGTGACTGAGTGACTGACTGACTGAGTGACTGACTGACTAAGTGACTGAGTGAGTGACTGAGTGACTGAGTGACTGAGTGAGTGACTGAGTGACTGACTGACTGACTAACTGAGTGACTGACTGAGTGACTGAGTAACTGAGTGACTGACTGACTGAGTGACTGACTGAGTGACTGACTGAGTGACTGACTGTCTGAGTGACTGAGTGACTGACTTAGTGACTGACTGACTGACTGAGTGACTGACTGACTGAGTGACTGACTGACTAACTGAGTGACTGGCTGAGTGACTGACTGACTAACTGAGTGACTGGCTGAGTGACTGACTGACTAACTGAGTGACTGACTGAGTGACTGACTGAGTAACTGAGTGACTGACTAAGTGACTGAGTGTCTGACTTAGTGACTGAGTGACTGAGTGACTGACTGACTGACTGAGTGACTGAGTGACTGAGTGACTGACTGACTGACTGACTGAGTGACTGAGTGCCTGACTGAGTAACTGAGTGACTGACTAAGTGACTGAGTGACTGACTGAGTGACTGAGTGACTGAGTGAGTGACTGAGTGACTGACTGACTAAGTGACTGAGTGACTGACTGAGTGACTGACTGAGTGACTAACTGAGTGACTGAGTGGCTGACTGACTGAGTGACTGACTGAGTGACTGACTGAGTGACTGAGTGACTGACTGAGTAACTGAGTGACTGACTAAGTGACTGACTGAGTGACTGTGTGACTGAGTGACTGACTGACTAAGTGACTGAGTGAGTGACTGAGTGACTGACTGAGTGACTGACTGAGTGACTGAGTGAGTGACTGAGTGACTGACTAAGTGACTGAGTGACTGACTGAGTGACTGAGTGTCTGAGTGATTGACTGACTGAGTGACTGACTTAGTGACTGAGTGACTGAGTGACTGACTGACTGACTGAGTGACTGAGTGACTGACTGACTGAGTGACAGAGTGACTGACTGAGTAACTGAGTGACTGACTGAGTGAGTGAGTGACTGACTGACTGACTGACTGAGTGACTGAGTGACTGACTGAGTGACTGAGTGACTGAGTGACTGACTGAGTGACTGAGTGACTGAGTGACTGACTGAGTGACTGAGATACTGACTGAGTGACTGAGTGAGTGAGTGACTGAGTGACTGAGTGAGTGACTGAGTGACTGACTAAGTGACTGAGTGACTGACTGAGTGACTGACTGAGTGACTGACTGAGTAACTGAGTGACTGATTGACTGACTGAGTGACTGAGTGACTAACTGAGTGACTAACTGAGTGACTGAGTGACTGACTGACTGAGTGACTGACTGAGTGACTGACTGAGTGACTGAGTAACTGAGTGACTGACTGACTGAGTGACTGACTGAGTGAGTGACTGAGTGACTGACTGAGTGACTGGCTGAGTGACTGAGTGAGTGACTGAGTGACTGACTGACTGACTAACTGAGTGACTGACTGAGTGACTGAGTAACTGAGTGACTGACTGACTGAGTGACTGACTGAGTGAGTGACTGAGTGACTGACTGAGTGACTGACTGACTGAGTGACTGATTGAGTGACTGACTGAGTGACTGACTGACTGACTGAGTGACTGACTGACTGACTGAGTGACTGACTGACTGACTGAGTGACTGACTGACTAACTGAGTGACTGGCTGAGTGTCTGACTGACTAACTGAGTGACTGGCTGAGTGAGTGACTGACTGACTGAGTGACTGACTGACTGAGTGACTGACTGACTAACTGAGTGACTGACTGAGTGACTGACTGACCGACTGAGTCACTGACTGACTGACTAACTGAGTGACTGACTGAGTGACTGACTGACTGAGTCACTGACTGAGTGACTGACTGAGTGACTGACTGACTGAGTGACTGACTGAGTGACTGACTGACTGAGTGACTGACTGACTGACTGAGTGACTGACTGACTGAGTGACTGACTGACTGACTAACTGAGTGACTGACTGAGTGACTGACTGACTGACTGAGTCACTGACTGAGTGACTGACTGAGTGACTGAGTGACTGACTGACTGACTGAGTGACTGACTGACTAACTGAGTGACTGACTGAGTGACTGACTGACTGACTGAGTCACTGACTGACTGACTGACTGAGTGACTGACTGACTAACTGAGTGACTGACTGAGTGACTGACTGACTGAGTCACTGACTGAGTGACTGACTGAGTGACTGACTGACTGAGTGACTGACTGAGTGACTGACTGACTGAGTGACTGACTGACTGACTGAGTCACTGACTGACTGACTGACTGAGTGACTGACTGACTAACTGAGTGACTGACTGAGTGACTGACTGACTGACTGAGTCACTGACTGAGTGACTGACTGAGTGACTGACTGACTGAGTGACTGACTGAGTGACTGACTGACTGAGTGACTGACTGACTGAGTCACTGACTGACTGACTGAGTGACTGACTGACTAACTGAGTGACTGACTGAGTGACTGACTGACTGACTGAGTCACTGACTGAGTGACTGACTGAGTGACTGACTGACTGAGTGACTGACTGAGTGACTGACTGACTGAGTGACTGACTAACTGAGTGACTGACTGAGTGACTGACTGACTGACTGAGTCACTGACTGAGTGACTGACTGAGTGACTGACTGACTGAGTGACTGACTGAGTGACTGACTGACTGAGTGACTGACTGACTGACTGAGTGACTGACTGAGTGAGTAACTGAGTGACTGACTGACTGACTTAGTCACTGACTGAGTGACTGACTGAGTGACTGACTGACTGAGTGACTGACTGAGTGACTGACTGACTGAGTGACTGAGTGACTGACTGACTGAGTGACTGACTGAGTGAGTAACTGAGTGACTGACTGACTGACTGAGTCACTGACTGAGTGTCTGACTGAGTGACTGACTGACTGAGTGACTGACTGAGTGACTGACTGACTGAGTGACTGACTGACTGACTGAGTGACTGACTGAGTGAGTAACTGAGTGACTGACTGACTGACTGAGTCACTGACTGAGTGACTGACTGAGTGACTGACTGACTAAGTGACTGACTGAGTGACTGACTGACTGAGTGACTGACTGACTGACTGAGTGACTGACTGAGTGAGTAACTGAGTGACTGACTGACTGACTGAGTCACTGACTGAGTGACTGACTGAGTGACTGACTGACTGAGTGACTGACTGAGTGACTGACTGACTGAGTGACTCACTGAGTGACTGAGTCACTGACTGAGTAACTGAGTGACTGACTGAGTGACTGAGTGAGTGAGTGACTGAGTGACTGAGTGACTGACTGAGTGAGTGACTGAGTGACTCAGTGACTGAGTGACTGAGTGACTGACTGAGTGACTGACTGAGTGACTGACTGAGTGACTGACTGACTGACTGACTGAGTGACTGACTGAGTGACTGAGTCACTGACTGAGTAACTGAGTGACTGACTGAGTGACTGAGTGAGTGAGTGACTGAGTGACTGAGTGACTGAGTGACTGACTGAGTGAGTGACTGAGTGACTGAGTGACTGACTGACTGAGTGACTGAGTGACTGAGTGACTGAGTGACTGACTGAGTGACTGACTGAGTGACTGACTGACTGACTGAGTGACTGACTGACTGACTGACTGACTGAGTGACTGACTGAGTGACTGACTGACTGAGTGACTGACTGAGTGACTGACTGAGTGACTGAGTCACTGACTGAGTAACTGAGTGACTGACTGAGTGACTGAGTGAGTGAGTGACTGAGTGACTGAGTGACTGAGTGACTGAGTGACTGACTGAGTGAGTGACTGAGTGACTGAGTGACTGACTGACTGAGTTACTGACTGAGTGACTGACTGACTGACTGAGTGACTGAGTGACTGACTGACTGACTGAGTGACTGACTGAGTGACTGACTGAGTGACTGAGTGTCTGAGTGATTGACTGACTGAGTGACTGACTTAGTGACTGAGTGAGTGAGTGAGTGACTGACTAACTGACTGACTAACTGACTGAGTGACTGAGTGATTGACTGAGTGACTGAGTGACTGACTGACTGACTGAGTGACTGACTGACTGACTGACTGACTGAGTGACTGAGTGACTGACTGAGTGACTGAGTGACTGACTGACTGACTGAGTGACTGAGTGACTGACTGACTGACTGAGTGACTGACTGAGTGACTGACTGAGTGACTGACTGAGTGACTGAGTGTCTGAGTGATTGACTGACTGAGTGACTGACTTAGTGACTGAGTGAGTGAGTGAGTGACTGACTAACTGACTGACTAACTGACTGAGTGACTGAGTGACTGACTGAGTGACTGAGTGACTGACTGACTAACTGAGTGACTGACTGAGTGACTTAGTGACTGACTGACTAACTGAGTGACTGACTGAGTGACTGAGTCACTAACTGAGTGACTGACTGAGTGACTGAGTGACTGAGTGACTGACTGACTGAGTGACTGACTGAGTGACTGAGTGACTGACTGACTGACTGAGTGACTGACTGACTGACTGAGTGACTGAGTGACTGACTGAGTGATTGAGTGACTGACTGAGTGACTTAGTGACTGACTGACTGACTAACTGAGTGACTGACTGACTGAGTGACTGACTGAGTGTCTGTGACCCTCAGATCCGAGGTCGTGAGCACTACGAGCTGCTGATGAAAGTGAAGGAAGGCTTGGAGCTCGCTCGCCTCATCCCTCACCACCTGGCGGAGACCTACAGGCAGCGGCAGGAGCAGCTCGCTCACCGCAGGCACGCTGCTCACCAACTCGCTCACCAACTCACTCACCAACTCACTCACCAACTCACTCACCAACTCACTCACTCACACAGCCACTCACTCACCAACTCACTCACTCACTCAGCCACTCACTCACCAACTCACTCACTCACTCAGCCACTCAGCCACTCACTCACCCACTCACTCACCAACTCACTCACTCACACAGCCACTCACTCACCAACTCACTCACTCACTCAGCCACTCAGCCACTCACTCAGCCACTCACTCACTCAGCCACTCACCAACTCGCTCACCCACTCGCTCACCAACTCACTAACCAACTCACTCACTCACTCAGCCACTCACCCACTCGCTCACCAACTCACTCACCCACTCACCCACCCACCGACCCACCCACTCACCCACCCACTCACCCACTCGCTCACCAATTCACTCACCCACTCGCTCACCCACTCGCTCACCAACTCACCAACCCACTCACTCACTCACCAACTCACTCACTCACCCACTCACCCACTCACTCACCCACTCGCTCACCAATTCACTCACCCACTCGCTCACCCACTCGCTCGCCTCATCCCTCACCACCTGGCGGAGACCTACAGGCAGCGGCAGGAGCAGCTCGCTCACCGCAGGCACGCTGCTCACCAACTCACTCACCAACTCACTCACCAACTCGCTCACCAACTCACTCACCCACTCACTCAGCCACTCGCTCACCCACTCACTCACCAACTCACTCACTCAGCCACCCACTCACTCAGCCACTCACTCACTCAGCCACCCACTCACTCAGCCACTCACTCACTCAGCCACTCACTCACTCAGCCACTCACTCACCAACTCACTCACCAACTCACTCACTCACACAGCCACCCACTCACCCACTCGCTCACACACTCACTCACCAACTCACTCACCAACTCACTCACCAACTCACTCACCAACTCACTCACCAACTCACTCACCCACTCACTCACCAACTCACTCACTCAGCCACCCACTCACTCAGCCACTCACTCACTCAGCCACCCACTCACTCAGCCACTCACTCACTCAGCCACTCACTCACTCAGCCACTCACTCACCAACTCACTCACCAACTCACTCACTCACACAGCCACCCACTCACCCACTCGCTCACACACTCACTCACCAACTCACTCACCAACTCACTCACCAACTCACTCACCCACTCACTCACCAACTCACTCACTCAGCCACCCACTCACTCAGCCACTCACTCACTCAGCCACTCACTCACTCAGCCACCCACTCACTCAGCCACTCACTCACTCAGCCACTCACTCACCAACTCACTCACCAACTCACTCACTCACACAGCCACCCACTCACCCACTCGCTCACACACTCACTCACCAACTCACTCACCAACTCACTCACCAACTCACTCACCAACTCACTCAGCCACTCACCCACACAGCCACTCACACAGCCACTCACCCACTCACTCACCCACTCGCTCACCAACTCGCTCACTCAGCCATCCACTCACTCAGCCACTCGCTCACCCACTCAGCCACTCGCTCACCAACTCACTCACCCGCTTGCTCACCCACTCGCTCGCCTCATCCCTCACCACCTGGCGGAGACCTACAGGCAGCGGCAGCAGCAGCTCGCTCACCGCAGGCACGCTGCTCACCAACTCACTCACCAACTCACCAACTCGCTCACCAACTCACTCACCAACTCACTCACTCACTCAGCCACTCACTCACTCAGCCACTCACTCAGCCATCCACTCACTCACTCACCCACCCACTCACCCACTCGCTCACTCACTCACTCACCCACTCACCCGCTCACTCACTAAGCCACTCACCCACTCACTCAGCCACTCACTCACCCGCTCGCTCACCCACTCACTCACACAGCCACTCACTCACTCACCCACTCAACCGCTCACTCACCCACTCATCCATTCAGCCACTCGCTCACCCTTTCACTCAGACACTCACTAACTCATTCATCCACTCATTCACTCACTCACTCACTCACCCACCCACTCACTCACCTACTCACTCACTCACTCACCCACTCACCCCCTCACTCACTCACCCACTCACTCACTCACCCACTCCCCCACTCACCCACCCACTCACCCCCTCACTCACCCACTCACCAGCATCAGATCAAATGACTCAGAACTTCGTGCTGTTTGTGGTGGGCCGTTATGCGTCGTGCGTCCACAGCTCCCTGCCAGGATACAGCTCTCCCAGTCTCAACAAGATGTCCAATTACAGCAGCAACATCAACAACATGAACAACATGAACAACAGCAACAACATCAGCAGCCACCACCACCACAAACTTCCATCGGTCAACCATATCATGGGGTCTAACGTGAGAGGAGTCATGGGTAAGTGGGTGGGTGAGTGGGTGGGTGAGTGGGTGAGTGGGTGGGTGAGTGGGTGGGTCGGTGGGTGAGTGGGTGAGTGAGTGGGTAAGTGAGTGGGTGAGTGGGTGAGTGAGTGGGTGAGTGAGTGGGTGAGTGGGTGAGTGAGTGGGTGGGTGAGTGAGTGAGTGGGTGAGTGAGTGAGTGGGTGGGTAAGTGGGTGGGTTAGGGGTGAGTAAGTGAGTGAGTGGGTGGGTGAGTGAGTGGGTGGGTGGGTGAGTGAGTGGTAGGTGGGTGGGTGAGTGGGTGGGTGAGTGGGTGAGTGAGTAGGTAGGTGGGTGAGTGGGTGAGTGAGTGGGTGGGTGGGTGAGTGGGTGAGTGAGTGGATGAGTGAGTGGGTGAGTGAGTGGGTGGGTGAGTGGGTGAGTGAGTGGGTAAGTGGGTGGGTGAGTGGGTGGGTGAGTGGGTGGGTGAGTGGGTGAGTGAGTGGGTGGGTGAGTGAGTGGGTGAGTGGGTGGGTGAGTGGGTGGGTGAGTGAGTGAGTGAGTGGGTAAGTGGGTGGGTGAGTGGGTGAGTGAGTGGGTGAGTGGGTGGGTGAGTGGGTGGGTGAGTGGGTGAGTGAGTGGGTAGGTGGGTGAGTGGGTGAGTGAGTGGGTGGGTGGGTGAGTGGGTGAGTGAGTGGGTGAGTGAGTGGGTGAGTGAGTGGGTGGGTGAGTGGGTAAGTGAGTGGGTGAGTGGGTGGGTAAGTGGGTGGGTGAGTGGGTGAGTGAGTGGGTGAGTGGGTGAGTGAGTGGGTGAGTGGGTGAGTGAGTGGGTAAGTGAGTGGGTGGGTGAGTGAGTGAGTGGGTGAGTGAGTGGGTGAGTGGGTGAGTGAGTGGGTGAGTGAGTGAGTGGGTGAGTGGGTGAGTGGATGGGTGGGTGGGTAAGTGGGTGGGTGAGTGGGTGAGTGGATAAGTGGGTGAGTGGGTGAGTGAGTGAGTGGGTGAGTGGGTGAGTGGGTGAGTGAGTGAGTGGGTGAGTGGGTGAGTGGGTGAGTCAGTGGGTGGGTGAGTGGGTGAGTGAGTGGGTGGGTGAGTGGGTGGGTGAGTGAGTGGGTGAGTGGGTGGGTGAGTGGGTGAGTGGGTGGGTGAGTGGGTAAGTGAGTGAGTGGATGAGTGAGTGAGTGGTTGAGTGGGTGGGTAAGTGGGTGGGCGAGTGAGTGAGTGGGTGAGTGACTGAGTGGGTGAGTGAGTGGGTGAGTGGGTGAGTGAGTGAGTAGGTGGGTGAGTGGGTGGGTGAGTGGGTGAGTAAGTGAGTGGGTGAGTGGGTGGGTGAGTGAGTGGGTGAGTGGGTGAGTGGGTGGGTGAGTGGGTGGGTGAGTGGGTGAGTGAGTGAGTGGGTGAGTGGGTGGGTGAGTGGGTGAGTGGGTAAGTGGGTGGATGAGTGGGTGGGTGAGTGGGTGAGTGTGTGAGTGAGTGAGTGGGTGGGTGAGTGAGTGGGTGAGTGAGTGAGTGGCTGAGTGAGTGGGTGAGTGGGTGGGTGAGTGAGTGAGTGGGTGAGTGAGTGAGTGGGTGAGTGAGTGAGTGAGTGGGTGGGTGAGTGGGTGAGTGGGTGAGTGAGTGGGTGAGTGGGTGAGTGGGTGAGTGAGTGGGTGAGTGGGTGGGTGAGTGAGTGAGTGGGTGAGTGGGTGGGTAAGTGAGTGAGTGGGTGAGTGAGTGAGTGAGTGGGTGGGTGGGTGAGTGAGTGAGTGAGTGGGTGGGTGAGTGGGTGAGTGGGTGAGTGAGTGGGTGAGTGGGTGAGTGGGTGAGTGAGTGAGTGAGTGGGTGGGTGAGTGGGTGAGTGGGTGAGTGAGTGGGTGAGTGGGTGAGTGAGTGAGTGGGTGAGTGGGTGAGTGAGTGAGTGAGTGGGTGAGTGGGTGGGTGAGTGGGTGGGTAAGTGGGTGGGTGAGTGAGTGAGTGGGTGAGTGGGTGGGTGAGTGAGTAGGTGGGTGAGTGGGTGGGTGAGTGAGTGAGTGAGTGGGTGGGTAAGTGGGTGGGTGAGTGAGTGAGTGAGTGGGTGAGTGGGTGATTGAGTGAGTGAGTGAGTGGGTGAGTGGGTGGGTAAGTGGGTGGGTGAGTGAGTGAGTGGGTGAGTGAGTGGGTGAGTGGGTGAGTGAGTGAGTAGGTGGGTGAGTGGGTGGGTGAGTGAGTGAGTGGGTGAGTGGGTGAGTGAGTGGGTGAGTGAGTGGGTGGGTAAGTGGGTGGGTGAGTGAGTGAGTGGGTGAGTGGGTGAGTGAGTGAGTAGGTGGGTGAGTGGGTGGGTGAGTGAGTGAGTGGGTGAGTGGGTGGGTAAGTGGGTGGGTGAGTGAGTGAGTGAGTGGGTGAGTGGGTGAGTGAGTGAGTGAGTGGGTGAGTGGGTGAGTGAGTGAGTGAGTAGGTGAGTGGGTGGGTAAGTGGGTGAGTGAGTGAGTGGGTGAGTGGGTGAGTGAGTGAGTGGGTGAGTGGGTGGGTAAGTGGGTGGGTGAGTGAGTGAGTGGGTGGGTGAGTGAGTGAGTGAGTCGGTGAGTGGGTGAGTGAGTGGGTGAGTGGGTGAGTGCGTGGGTGAGTGGGTGAGTGAGTGGGTGAGTGAGTGAGTGGGTGAGTGGGTGAGTGAGTGGGTGAGTGGGTGAGTGGGTGGGTGAGTGGGTGGGTGATTGGGTGAGTGAGTGGGTGAGTGAGTGGGTGAGTGAGTGAGTGGGTGAGTGAGTGGGTGAGTGGGTGAGTGGGTGAGTGGGTGAGTGAGTGGGTGGGTGATTGGGTGAGTGTGTGGGTAAGTGGGTGAGTGTGTGGGTAAGTGGGTGGGTGAGTGAGTGGGTAAGTGGGTGATTGGGTGAGTGAGCGGGTGAGTGAGTGAGTGGGTGAGTGGGTGAGTGGGTGGGTGAGTGAGTGTGTGAGTGGGTGAGTGGGTGAGTGGGTGGGTGAGTGGGTGAGTGGGTGAGTGAGTGGGTGAGTGAGTGGGTGAGTGGGTGAGCGGGTGAGTGGGTGGGTGAGTGGGTGGGTGAGTGGGTGAGTGTGTGGGTAAGTGAGTGGGTGAGTGAGTGAGTGGGTAAGTGGGTGAGTGATTGGGTGAGTGAGTGGGTGAGTGAGTAGGTGAGTGAGTGGGTGAGTAAGTGGGTGAGTGGGTTAGTGGGTGAGTGAGTGGGTGAGTAAGTGGGTGAGTGGGTGAGTGGGTGAGTAAGTGGGTGAGTGGGTGAGTGGGTGAGTGAGTGGGTGAGTGGGTAAGTGGGTGGGTGAGTGAGTGGATGGGTGGAGGTTCCAAATAATAACTCATCACACCCTCCCCCCACCCCCTTCCCCCTCCCCCCACCCCCTCCCCCCTCCCCCCACCCCTTCCCCCCACCCCCTCCCCCCCAGCCCCCCACGGCGTGGATTTGGGCTCAGACCCCAGCGGCGGCCAGGGGGGGCCCCTCCCCCTTGGCCCCCCCTCCCCGTCGCCCCTCCCCACAGCCCCGCCCCTCCCCACAGCCCCGCCCCACGCCACAGCCCCGCCCCTACCCACAGAACCGCCCCCTCCATACGGTGGCTCAGATGGCTCCATATCGGGGTACGGTGCTCACCAATTCCTCACCACTCACTCACCAATTCCTCACCACTCACCCACCCACTCACTCACGCACTCACCCACTCACCCACCCACTCACTCACCCACCCACTCACTCACCCACCCACTCACTCATTCACTCATTCACTCACCCACCCACTCACTCACCCACCCACTCACTCACCCACCCACTCACTCATTCACTCACTCACTCACCCACTCACTCACTCACCCACTCACCCACTCACCCACTCACCCACGCACTCACCCACCCACTCACTCACTCACTCACACACTCACTCACCCACTCACTCACCCACCCACTCACTCACCCACTCACTCACCCACTCACCCACTCACTCACCTACTCACCCACCCACTCACTCATTCACACACTCACTCACTCACCCACTCACCCACTCACCCACCCACCCACTCACCCACCCACTCACTCATTCACTCACTCACTCACCCACTCACTCACTCACTCACCCACTCACCCACTCACTCACCCACTCACCCACCCACTCACCCACCCACTCACTCACACACTCACTCACCCACTCACTCACTCACCCACTCACTCACCCACTCACCCACTCACTCACCCACTCACCCACCCACTCACTCACTCACACACTCACTCACTCACTCACCCACTCACCCACCCACTCACCCACTCACTCACTCACACACCCACCCACTCACCCACCCACTCACTCACCCACTCACTCACCCACTCACCCACTCACCCACCCACTCACTCACCCACCCACTCACTCATTGACTCACTCACTCACTCACCCACTCACTCACTCACTCACCCACTCACCCACTCACTCACCCACTCACCCACTCACTCACCCACTCACCCACCCACTCACTCACTCACACACTCACTCACTCACCCACTCACCCACCCACTCACCCACCCACTCACTCGCTCACACACTCACTCACTCACACACCCACCCACTCACCCACCCACTCACTCACCCACTCACTCACCCACTCACCCACTCACCCACTCACTCACCCACTCACCCACTCACTCACCCACTCACCCACTCACTCACTCACACACTCACTCACTCACCCACCCACCCACTCACCCACTCACTCACTCACTCACCCACTCACCCACTCACCCACTCACTCACTCACACACTCACTCACTCACCCACCCACCCACTCACTCACTCACCCACCCACCCACCCACTAACCCACTCACTCACCTACCCACTGATGATTGGTGTTGACGGTTGGTGACCTCCGATGACCTCTGTTGACCTGCGATGACTTATATTGACCTCTCCTGACCTCAGGTGACCTACGGTCACCTCTTTTGACCTCTACTGACCTTCACTGACCTCCGGTGACCTCCGCTGCCCTATGATGTTGACCTCTGCTGACCTACCATGTTGACCTCTGGTGACCTCTGACGACCTACCATGTTGACCTCTGGTGACCTACCATGTTGACCTCTGCTGACCTCTGCTGACCTATGATGTTGACCTTTGGTCACATCTGGTGACCTATCGTGTTGACCTCTGGTGACCTTTGATGTTGACCTCTGGTGACCTCTGGTGACCTCAGATTCTTAGGCCGTCTGGGCTGTGGTAGCTGCGTCGACTTCTTCACATCACAGGGGCTGGTGAACGTCTACCAGCTAGAGCATATCACCATGGAGGTGAGTAACACTCACCACTCACCACCAACACTCACTCACCACTAACACTCACCACTAACACTCACCACTCACACTCACTCACCAGTAACACTCACCACTAACACTCACTCACCACTCACCACTAACACTCACCACTTACCACTAACACTCACCACTAACACTCACCACTCACTCACCACTCACACTCACCACTCACACTCACCACTCACTCACCACTCACCACTAACACTTACCACTAACACTCACCACTAACACTCACCACTCACACTCACCACTCACTCACCACTCACACTCACCACTCACTCACCACTCACTCACCAGTAACACTCACCACTAACACTCACCACTCACCACTCACCAACAACACTCACTCACCACTAACACTCACCACTAACACTCACTCACCAGTAACACTCACCACTAACACTCACCACTCACCACCAACACTCACCACTAACACTCACCACTCACTCACCACTCACTCACCACTCACCACTAACACTCACCACTCACTCACCACTCACTCACCACTCACTCACCACTCACCACTAACACTCACTCACCACTAACACTCACACTCACCACTAACACTCACCACTCACCACTCACCACTAACACTCACCACTCACACTCACCACTCACCACTAACACTCACCACTCACACTCACACTCACCACTCACACTCACCACTCACACTCACCACTAACACTCACCACTCACACTCACCACTCACCACTCACTCACCACTCACACTCACCACTCACTCACCACTCACTCACCACTCACCACTAACACTCACCACTCACTCACCAGTAACACTCACCACTAACACTCACACTCACCACTAACACTCACCACTCAGCACCAACACTCACCACCAACACTCACCACTCACCACCAACACTCACTCACCACTAACACTCACCACTAACACTCACCACTCACTCACCACTAACACTCACCACTCACCACTCACCACTAACACTCACCACTAACACTCACCACTCACTCACCACTCACACTCACTCACCACTAACACTCACCACTAAAACTCACCACTCACTCACCACTAAAACTCACACTCACCACTCACCACTAACACTCACTCACCACTCACTCACCACTCACCACT